AGGCAGGAGACTCGCTTGAGCCCAGGAGTTGGAGGTTGCTGTGAGCATGATGCCATGGCACTCTACCCAGGGGGATAGCTTGAGTCTCCGTCTCAAAAAAAAAAAAGAATACTGGCTGCGATCTTCCACCACTGAGCTGGGCAAATAGAAAAAATGGCACAGAGCTTTTCTGCCAGTCTCACATTGCCTTTTATTTTGACTCAACATTCAGTCTGTTGCTGTAAATCTTTGATTGTTTTTCTTTTTCTGTTTGTTTTTTTTTTTTTTTTGAGACAGAGTCTCACTATGTCACCCTTGGTAGAGTGCTATGGCATCACAGCTCACGGCAACCTTAAATTCTTGGGCTTGAGCAATTCTCTTGCCTCAGCCTCCCAAGTAGCTGGGACTACAGGTGGCACCACAACGACAGCCTGATTTTTTGTTGCAATTGTCATTGTTTAGCAGGCCCAGGCTGGGTTGGAACCCTCCAGCCTCCATGTATGTGGTGGGCACCCTAACTACTGAGCATGGGTGCCAAGCCTGATTGTTTTTCAGACTTCTGTAAAACAAATTTTTTGACAGTTTTTGTTTCAGTTTTGGTTGTTTTTTCAATGTTTCTATGGAGGGATGGGCCCTTGGACCTACCTACTCTACCATTTTTGTTCATTGGGAATTTCCATAATGGACTTAGTCTTGTGTTTGTTTGCTTGTTGTTTTTTGTTTGTTTGTTTGTTTGTTTGTTTTTGAGACAGAGCCTTAAGCTGTCCCCTTGGGTAGAGTGCTGTGGCATCAAAGTGCACAGCAACCTCCAACTCCTGGGCTAAAGTGAGTCTCCTGCCTCTGCCTCCCAAGTAGCTGGGACCACAGGCGCCCGCCGCAACGCCCGGCTATTTTTTGGTTGCAGCCGTCATTGTTGTTTGGTGGGCCGGGGCTGGATTTGAACCCACCACCTTAGGTGTATGTGGCTGGCGCCTTAGCCACTTGAGCCACAGACGCCAAGCCTGTTTGCTTGTTTTTTTGAGCCTGGGTCTTGCTGTGTTACCTTGGCTGGAGTGCAGTGTCATTATCATAGCTCACTGCAGCCTCAAACTCCTGGGCTCAAGTGATCCTCCTGCCTAAGTTTCCTGAGTAGCTGGGACTACAGGTGTGTGCACCACCATGCCTGGCTAATTTTTATTTCTGTAGAAACAGAATCTTTCTGTGTTGCCCAGGCTGGTTTTGAACTCCTGGTCTCAAGTGATCCTCTAGCCGTGGTTCCCTAATGTGTTGGAATTACAGACATGAGCCATCATGCCTGGCCTGTTGCTGATCCTTTTTTTCTTTTTTTTTTTTGGCTGGGGCTGTGTTTGAACCTGCCACCTCTGGCATATGGGGCCAGCGCCCTACCCTTTTGAGCCACAGGTGCCGCCCTGTTGTTGATACTTTTTAGAAAGAAATAAACTGATGTAAGTCCAAATTTAGTTATAATCTCTATTCCATTTCCCTTCTTCCTTCTGCAAGGATAGCCATTCTTTCGAATTAGTTTTGTAAATGCATATATACCCCAAAATAATATATAGTCTTGTTTTATGTATTTTAATTTCTTTTATATTGACTTTCTTTCATTGTTTCTTTAACACAGCAATGGTTAGTGAACATAGTGTGTTTGGTAATGGTGCTTAAGAATTTGTGGAAATTTTCTTTATGGCTTTATATATGGTACATACGTGTATTTTGGGAATGGTACTCTGCTTCTAGAGAACAGACCTAGCTGCTTAGTGGTATTGTGGCATCATATTGTTCTGGTTCTCCTTTCCCATTCTCCTGTCGCAGTCATCCCCACTTCTTCACAGAAAAAAGACATAGTACCTGTACATCTAGAATCTTAAGTGCTGGGTTTTTTTTTTTTTGTTTTTTGTTTTTTGAGACAGAGCCTCAAGCTATCCCCCTGGGTAGAGTGCCAAGGCATCACGCTCACAGCAACCTCCAACTCCTGGGCTCAATCGAGTCTCCTGCCTCTGCCTCCCAAGTAGCTGGGACCACAGGCGCCCGCCACAGCACCCGGCTATTTTTTGATTGCAGCCGTCATTGTTGTTTGGCGGGCCCAGGCTGGATTCGAACCTGCCACCTTAGGTGTATGTGGCTGGTGCCTTAGCCGCTTGAGCCATAGGCGCCGAGCCGAATCTTAGGTTTTGTAATCCCAGGTTATAAAAGGTTCTGGGGCCCCAAATACAGGGACATTTAGAGCTGGCCTTGAGTTAAGGTGCATGCACAGCAGCCATGGTAGCACCTGGACTCAGAGGAGATGTCTACTCAAAGTGAATTTACTCTTCAGCCAACAGGTCCTGGCACAATGAGGAAGGCACGTCATGTGAAGGAAAAGAGGTTTCAGGACTTCGGTATCATCATTCATAGGGACACCATTACTACAGACTACGATTTCTAATGAGAAATTAGTACAATTCAAGAAGAGACTACGGACACAGCTTCCTAGTTACTGGCCATATGCCAATAAAAGAAGAAAATGATCAAGGCCCAGGTGACTTGTTTGTTTGATTCTTTCTTTCATTATGGGATTGATTTCTGGAGAACTTTAAATCAGTTGAATTAAATGGGAAAGTATAAATTGGTAAAGCAGTATTTGTGCAGGAATAAATGTAGACTCTTAAGTTTACTATCTAGACGAAGTAGGATCAGGAATACACATACATTGTTCATAGATATGGAGTCATAGACATATTTGGTGGTTGTCCCTAGTTCTTGATACAGAACTCCTAAAACCCTTGGAATTTCCTGAGTGAGAAGGGTGATGGGAGCCTCTTTTATTCTAATGAGGTGACGCTTGGCAGACCCCTAGATAACTTCAGGATGAAAGCTGGTGACCAGAATAAACAAGCCTTGATTAGAAGCATAGAACTTTAATCTGTACCTCCAACCTCCTCCAGGGAGGGGAAAGGGGCTGGATATTATTTGACTTCAGTCACCAGTGGCCCATGATGTGATTGATCATGCATATGTAATAAACAATAGGGTTTGGAGAACTTGTAGGGTGGTAAACATGTTGAGATGCAGGGTGGGTGGTGTGTGCATGGATGTCTATGCCATCCTCATACCCTGCCATGCCCTGCCCTGTGCATCTCTCTCAATTGGCTGTTCCTAAGTTGTTTCCTTTATAATAACCTGATGATAGTAAAGTGCTTTCATGAGTTCTGTGAGCTGTTCTGATTAATTACTGAGCCTGAGGGTATGTTGTGAGAAGCCCCAAATTTGTAGTGCAGTTGACAGAAGTATGAGTAACATGGAGACCCACACTTGTGGCTGTTGTCTGAAGTGGGGTTGGTCTTACAGGACTGAACCCTTAACCTGTGGGGCCTGCCTGTAGCTCAAGTGGCTGGGGCACCAGCCACATACACCAGAGCTGGTGGGTTCAAATTTAGCCCAGGCCTGCCAAACAACAATGACAGCTATAACCAAAAAATAGCTGGGGATTGCGGAGAGTGCCTGTAGTCCCAGCTCCTCCGGAGGCTGAGGCAAGAGAATTACCTAAGTCCAAGAGGTGGAGATGCTGTGAACTGTGATGCCACAGCACTCTACCGAGGGTGACAAAGCAAAACTCTGTCTGTAAAAAAAAGTAAGGTTAGTGAGATATCACCTAACCCCAGTGAGAATAGCACACATCACAAAGTCGCAAAGCTGCAGATGCTAGCACACATGTGGAGAGAAGGTAACACTTTACACTGTTCTGGGACTGCAAACTAATATAGCCTCTTTGGAAAGAAGTGTGGAGAATCTTCAGAGAATTCAAAGTAGACCCTCCATTTGATTCCACAGTCCCTTTACTAGGCATCTACCCAGAAGAAAAAAAATCATTTAACCATAAGGACATTTACACTAGATTGTTTATCACAGCTCGGTTTACAATTGCCAAGATATAGAAACAACCTAAATGGCCATCAACCTAGGCATGAATTAATAAACTGTGGTATATGTATACAATAGAATACTATTCAGCCATAACAAAGATGGAGACCTTACATCTTTTGTATTAACCTGGATTGAGTTGAAACACATTCTTAGTAAAGTATCAGAAGAATGGAAAAGGCAAGTATTCAATGTACGCAATACTAATGTGAATCCAGTAGACTAATACGTGCCCACACAAGAGGAAAACCTGAATTCAATTCAAAGTGGGAGGAGGGGGGAAGAGGAAGAGGGAAGAGGATTGGTGTGTTCTCACTTAGTGGGCACAATATAAGGGTACATGGAATACTTCCTGGGTGCGGGACACAACTATAATAGGGACTCTAATAAATACAAACATTGTAACCTAGTTGTTTGTACTCTCACATTAATCTGAAATAAAATAAAATAAATTTGGTATAAACCATGTGTAAAATGTTTATAAAGTTTACAGTAGTAAATGGTAATGTCCTAGGCCTTCACATTCACTGTCCAGCTCACTCAGAGCAACTTCAGTCCTGTAAGCTGCATTCATGGTAAGTGCCCTATACAAGTGTATCATTTTGTCTTTTATACCAGTGGTATGCTATATCTTTTGTATATCTAGATATACTTAGATACACGAGTACTTATCATCATCTTATGGTGGCATGTAGTATTCAGTACAGTAACCACTGTACAGGTTTATAGCCTGGGAGCAATGGTCTCTACCATGCAGCCTAGGTGTATAGCAGGCTCTACCGTCTAGGTATGTAAGTGCCCTCTGATGTTTGCACAATGATATAATTGCCTAATGACATCTTTCTCAGAACACATCCCTGTTAAGCTGTGTATGACTGTGTGCGTGTATATATGTATATGTATGTATCTGTATGTGCATATATATCTTACAGAAGTATTTATCTCTTTTTTCTTGGAGACATAGTCTGATTTTGTCACCTTGGATAGAGTGTAGTGGTGTCATAGCTCACAGCAACCTCAAACTCTTGCGCTCAAGTTATTTTCTTGTTTCAGTGTCCTGAGCACCTGGGATTATAGATACCTGCCACAATGCCCAGCTGATTTTTCTATTTTCCATAAAGAAAGGGTCTTGCTTCAGCTCAGGCTGGTCTTGAACTCCTGAGCTCAAGCAATCCACTGGCTCGGCCAGAATTATCCATCTTATTGCTTAGATCTTTGGATAGCACTATGCCATGTATTTCCTTTTTCATAAACTAGTCTGGTAAGTGCTAAACTTTACTTATCCTCCATGTTTGTTAATCTATCTTTTGTATATTATGTCATTTTTTCCTTGTACATTTTGGGTAGTTTCTTCAAATCTACTTACCAGTTTACTGGTTATCTCTTCAATGCATGCTGCTAACACACCTGATAATGTAAATGTAAGTAATTGTTAAAATATGTATGTTAATGGCTTTTAAGCAATGCTAGGTATTTTCTTGGTCTGTCTTTTTTTTTTTTGAGACAGAGTCTCAAGCTGTCGCCCTGGGTAGAGTGCTGTGGTGTCACAGCTCACAGCAACCTCAAACTCCTGGGCTTAAGCTATTCTCTTGCCTCAGCCTCCCAAGCAGCTGGGACTACAGGCACCCACCACAATGCCTGGCTATTTTTGTTGTTGCAGTTGTCATTGTTGTCTTACCAGGTCAGAGCTGGGTTCAAACCCACCAGCCCTGTTATATGTGGCTGGTGACCTACCCACTGAGCACTACCTTTAGTCCATCTTAATAATACTGGATTTTTGTTTGTTTTGTTTTGTTTTGAGACAGAGTCTCACTCTGTTGCCCTGGGTAGAGTGTAATGACATTGTAGCTCACAGCAACCTCAAATTCTTGGGCCTAAGCAATCCTCTTGCCTCAGCCTCTGGAGCAGCTGGTACTACAGGTGCTCACTACCACACCTAGCTAATTATTCTATTTTTAGTAGAGACAGGGTCTCACTCTTGCTTAGGCTGGTCTTAAACTCCTGTGCTCAAGCAATCTGATTACAGGTGTGAGCCACCACACCCACTCTTAACAATACTTAATATTCTCTTGTTCGGGTGGTGCCTGTGGCTCAGTGGGTAGGGTGCCAGCCCCATATACTGAGGGTGGCAGGTTTGAACGTGGCCCTGGACAAACTGCAACAACAAAAAAAATAGTGGGGTGTTCTGGCAGGCACCTGTAGTCCCAGCTACTCGGGAGGCTGAGGTAAGAGAACTGCTTAAGTCCAGGAGTTGGAGGTTGCTGTGAGCTGTGATGCCACAGCATTCTACTGAGGACAATAAAGTGAGACTCTGTCTCTAAAAAAAAAAAAAAGCATATATATATATATACTTTTGTTCCTTGGACGTATTTTTGAAAGATTCTTTTATTCCTCCTAGCATATAAAAACTTGCTGTTATAGTGTCTGGAGTTTCTTCATCTTTAATTCTAATATTGGGCATGAAGATTCATGGTGAATGTAGGAATATGCTTTATTTATCTTGATATTTAGTACCTGGCAGATAAGTGCTAAGAAATAAGAAAAAGAGTATAAGCAAGAGAATTAAATGATTGGTTCTTACAGGAACTTATGATTTTATTAACTGATGAATAACTGCACAATTGCAGAATATTTTGCTAGAGGGTGGTGCCTGTGGCTCAGTGAATAGGGTGCCGGCCCCATATACCAAGAGTGGTGGGTTTGAATCCAGCCCCAGCCAAACTGCAGCAAAAAAAATAGCTGGGTGTTGTGGCGGGCACCTGTGGTCCCAGCCGCTCGGGAGGCTGAGGCAAGAGAATTGCCTAAGTCCAAAAGCTGGAGGTTGCTGTGAGCTGTGATGCCGTGGCACTCTATCAAGGGCAACAAAGTGAGACTCTGTCTCTAAAAAACAAGAATATTGTGCTAGAGATGGATTTTGCTTCTATCACAGTATGTTTATTTTTTAAATCACAGCACCTAGGTATGTAGATGTAGCCTATATGGTGAAAATGAGCAGAACAATGTCCTTTGTATTCCATAGCAATAAAAGAGAAATACTCCATATTAAGCAGGATCTTGTTTTTATAGGAATCATTGACCCTGGAAGATGTTGCTCTGGAGTTCACCTGGGAGGAGTGGCAGCTCCTGGGCCCCACTCAGAAGGACCTGTACCGGGACGTAATGTTGGAGAACTACAGTAACCTGGTGTCAGTGGGTAAGGACAGCTGTTCCATGTCATTCAAGGGAGCCTGTCAGTGGACTTTCATTCCTTAGCTTCTGAAAGTTTTGGTGGGCCTGTGGTGCTCTGAAGTGGTAGTTTTTACAAACTCCTTTATGGTTCCAGATAAGAGTAATAAGGTGCCCCCTTTGGAGAGAAAAGCCTTTGCTTTGCAGACACATATTATGTAGTTCCTAATATAGAACATTCACCCCATGTGGACAGACCACGGCTTAATTCTATGAGCTTGAGTCTTCTGTCATTTCCCTTGAACAGGATATCAAGCCAGCAAGTCAGATCCATTCTCCAAGTTGGAACGAGGAGAACTATGGACAGTAACAGATGAAATCCACAATCAAATCTATCCAGGTGAGTTGGTGAGAGCCAGCAAGGAGGACAGCAGAGCTAGTCACATGCTGGTCCTTCAGAAGCATCTCAGCCACTCCACCTATTCTGCTCCCCATATAACTATTTTTCTTATAGGTGTTGAAAGGAATGTCTACCTCTTGATCATGTCTTGGATTTCATCACTGTTTATTTTAGCTAGAGCTTAATTTTTTTTTCCTAAAGGTTTCTTTTTTAGGATTCTCAGGTCTCAGCATTTTTCTCCCATCAGAGCTTCCCTGACTGTTGTTTCTACTTCTCTTGCTATGAGATTCCACCTTCTATGTTTCTTCTTAAAAAGAGATCTTGTCTTCTGATGACTGCACCTTCCTACACCTTTTGATTATATTGCTTTCCTTTCCTAACATCCACCCCCATCTTGGACTCTATCTCCCCAAAGTCACTTTGTTGCTTTGAAGATATCTATTTCTTTAGCTATCTTTTCTCCTACTCTGAGGTCTTCCAGTAGTTCTGTTTTCCATATTTTTGCTCTCTTCTCATATCCTTTAAAATTTTCCCTTCATTTTAATGACTTGAACTTATCTCTCTTTTGAGACTCTTAGTTTGACATCTCCCTTAATATTTTCTAACTTTCATAGAAAGTTAGACACAACTTGGCTCAGTGTCTGTAGTTCAGCGGCTAGAGTGCCAGCCACATACACCAGGGCTGGTGGGTTTGAACTCAGTCTGAGCCTGCCAAACAACAATAGCAATTACAACAACAACAACAACAAAATAGCTGGACAGGCACCTGTCTTGTCCTAGCTACCTGGGAGCCTGAGAATTGCTTAAGCCCAAGAGTTTGAGATTGCTTGAGCTGTGACACCATGACACTTTACCCAGGGTGATATAATGAGACTCTGTCTCAAAAAAAAGAAAGTTAGACACAACAAAACTCAACTAAAATATATGGTTTCACTATATATTTTACCTACCTCCATGGTAACTCCTTGAGTCTATCCTGGCCACTGTGGAATTACCTCAAATCTTTCCTCCCTCAGCTGTCTTATTTAAAGTGTTTGCTTTTCTGGTTGTTTCTTTTGTTTGTGTGTTTCGTTGTTTTTTTAAATTTCTCATTCTCTTTGAACTGCATTAAAAAAAATTTTTCTCATTCTCCGTTTCCAGCCCAATCTAGATCATTAAACCTCATGCCTACTTTGCATAATTGCATTATAGAATTGTTAATTATACACATCGCTTTCATTTCTTCTAAATGATACTGTTAGATTAATTAAATGGAAAATTCCAGAACTAAACAATTTATAAGTTTTAAATTGCACACCAGTTTGAGAAACAGGATGAAATTTTACACTATCACAGGACACTGTATATGCTGCCTGCATGTTTAGTCACTTAATAGCCATCTTGGATATCAGATCTGACTGTTGTATCACAGTGCTTGTATTCACGTAACCCTTGTTTTACTTAATGTCTCTAAAATGCAAGAGTGTGATGCTGGCATGTTGTTACAATTGTTGTATTTTATTAGTAGTTATTGTTACTCTCTTACTGTCCTTAATTTATAAAGTAAACTTTATCATAGGTATATGCTGTAGAGGAAAAAACATGATATTTATAGAATTAGGTATGATCCTGACTGCCGTGCCTTGATTTTCCTTTCTTTTTTCTTTTTTTTTTTTTGGAGACAGAGTCTCTCTTATTGCCCTGGGTAGAGTGCCCTGGCATCATAGCTCACAGTAACCTCAAACTCCTGGCCTTAACCGATTCTTTTGCCTCAGCCTCCTGAGTTGCTGGGACTACAGGAGTCCACCGCAAGGCCCGGCTATGTTTTTCCTTTCTTAACATTATAGCCAGACCTCTTCCTCTTCCTTCTCCACTATTCCCTCAAACCGCTTTCCATAATTTCTATCTACCTTCTTTCATTGCTTCCTTGTTCAGCTTTTCTCAATTTAGAGTGTCTGCTCAGAGAAAATAAGGAATATAAATTTTTTTATTTTTGCCAACACCTTGGTTTCAAGGAATGTCACCATCATCAGCATGATGCTTGATCCATAGTCATAATTTAATGATTTGTAGATTCTTATTTGTATGACTATGTTCCTCATCATTTTGAAAAAAATAATGGTATAACTACTGTGGTCCAGTGCTAACAGCAAATTAATTTATTGTTCAGCATCCTTTACATGTTCACATTTAGAAAGCAGCTAAACCAGTATTTATTTATTTTGAATGAGCTAGTGTCGTTTATATACTGGCTTATTACGTTTTCTTTTCTTTATTTAAATTGTGTTTTATCCTTGTCCAAGTGGCAGTGAACATAATCTTCTTGGAGTTTTAAACTGACATAATAGTGTGGTCAATAAAAAGCCAGCCTACACAAAGATAGTTTTATTCTGTTCTATGCTCATAGAAAGACTTATTATTCTCTTCATTCCTAGAAATCAAGAAAGTTGACAATCATCTACAGGTACACTCACAGAACCAAAGATATCTGAATAGAGTGGAGCATAATAATGCATTTGGAAACATCCTTCAACAGAAAAAAAGTAATATTCCTTTAAAGCAAAATCATGACACATTTGACTTACATGAGAAAATTTTAAAATCAAATTTAAGTTTAATCAACCTGAACAGAAACTGTGAAATCAAGAATTCTATTGAGCTTAATGGAGATGAGCAATCCTTTCTCCATGACAAGCATGAGCAATTTCATAATGAAATGAAATTGCCTCAATGTGGAAATTTTATGAATATAAATTCACAACTCATTAAGCATCAGAGAACTGAAAAGATAGATAAACCTCATATATGCAATGAATGTGGGAAGGCCTTCCTCAAAAAGTCTCGCCTCATTGATCATCAGAGAGTTCATACAGGAGAGAAACCTCATGGATGCAGTAAATGTGGGAAAGCTTTCTCCAGAAAGTCCAGACTCACTGAACACCAAAAAACTCATACACGAGAGAAACGGTATGAATGCACTGAATGTGACAAAGCATTCCGTTGGAAATCACAGCTCATTGCACATCAGAAAATTCACACTGGAGAGAAACCCTATGTATGCAATGATTGTGGAAAAGGTTTTATTAAAAAGTCTCGGCTAATTAATCATCAGAGAGTTCATACAGGAGAGAAACCTCATGAATGCAGTCTGTGTGAGAAAGCATTCTCTAGAAAGTCCAGGCTTATTGAACATCAGAGAACCCATACAGGAGAGAAACCCTATGAATGCACTGAATGTGACAAGGCATTCCGTTGGAAATCACAACTTAATGCACATCAGAAAACTCATACAGGGGAGAAATCATATATATGCAGTGATTGTGGGAAAGGCTTCATTCAGAAGGGCAATCTCATTGTACATCAGCGAACTCATACTGGAGAGAAACCTTATGTTTGCAATGAATGTGGAAAAGGCTTCATCCAAAAAGGCAATCTCCTTATACATCAGCGTACTCATACTGGAGAGAAACCCTATGTATGCAATGATTGTGGGAAAGGTTTCAGTCAGAAGACATGCTTAATATCTCATCAGAGATTTCACACAGGAAAGACTCCCTTTGTATGTAGTGAGTGTGGAAAATCCTGCTCACATAAGTCTGGTCTCATTAACCATCAGAGAATTCATACAGGAGAGAAACCCTATACATGCAGTGACTGTGGGAAAGCTTTCAGAGATAAGTCATGTCTTAATAGACATCGGAGAACTCATACAGGAGAGAGACCCTATGGATGCTCTGACTGTGGGAAAGCTTTCTCACACTTGTCATGCCTTGTTTATCATAAAGGAATGCTGCATGCAAGAGAGAAATGTGTAGCTTCAGTCAAGTTGGAAGTCTCAGAGAGGCACAGCTCATCACGTACAAGTGATCTTATTCAGGATAAAAACCCTGCTAACATGGTGACTGTGCAGATGCCTTCTGTGACTGCTCAGACTTCATTAAATAACAGTGAGTTCCAGACCAATAGCAGTGTAGCCATTGTGGGACAGCCAGTTGCTAGATATTCGCCCCCAGCAAACAACAGAATTTGCACAGAGGAGAAACCTCATGAATGCATTGAATGTGGTAGTGCTTTTGGTGATCAATTACATCATAATTTATGTCACAAAAAACACACAGGAAAAAATTTTGGCACTTTCAAGGTGGAAAACTCTTTAGTATAACCTAGCTCATTATGACTATGTGGCTAATAAGCATATAAAATGAGAACAAAATAGTGTGAATGGAGAAACTAGAAAAGTCTTTTATAGGAAGATAGACCCTATCCATCTGGAATCTGTCTTCAGTGATTATATATCACACATCATCAGTGACCTCATAGTTGGTAGAAATAAAATTATGGAAAGGAAAAGTCTTTGCTGAGACATAAGACCTCAGTAGATGTTAGAAAGTTGATGCAAGAGACAAACTGTTAGAAGACTTTTGTAGGCCATGAATGTGTCAGGGTTGTCAGTAGTACATTGTGCCTCATCAAGTGTGAGAGGAAATCATATGGAAATAAAACTATGAAACACTAACATCTTCAAAATAAGAGAGCACATGAAACAAACCCTATGAAGATGAATATTTCAAAGATTTATGCATAAGTCTAACATCATTATACAGCAAGTAATATTTTATTGTAGGACAATATACCTTGAATCAAACTCCTAGTTGGTATGTAATTGACTCCTTAGTTAAAAGGAGATTGTCAACTGGGTGTGGCTGCTCATGCCTGTAATCCTAGTACTCTGAGAGGCCAAGGTGGGCACTTGAACTCAGGAGTTTGAGACCAGCCTGAGCAAGAGGGAGACGCTGCCTCCAGTAAAAATAAACTAGCTGGGTGTTGTGGCGCATGCCTGTAGTCCCAGCTACGCAGGAGGCTGAGGCAAGAGGATCTCTTCAGCCTAAGAGTTTTAGGTTTCTGTTTCTGTGAGCTAGACTCAGGCCATGGCACTGTAGCCTGGGTGACAGAGTGAGACTCTGTCTCAAAAAATAATAATAAGAGGTTGTCTGTGTTGCATATCATTGTGTTAACCAATGATATGTAACATTATAACATTATCATTATAACACAATGTACCCTTCCCCACTTTTGGTATGAGTCTTCTACTTCCAGACAAGACCATAATATGATTAGCTCTTGTATTTTTTTGATTACTAAATTTATTATTTTAGACTCTGAAATCCTTCAAAAGGAAACTATGAATGTATTTAATTCTATAATATAGCATAACATGTTTCATTGTGTTTGAACTTACAAGTACTACCCTAGAGGAATGAAGTTCAAAGTTCATAGATAACCAATCAGCTATGCTGTTACCTTATAAGGTAGTTTTCACCCTAATCCCATGGTTTGTTTTATCGTTGGTATACATGACACTCAAATGTTTTCCCTAATTTATTCCATTTATAAGAACTGTAGGTGATGGCATTGATGAACAACATTTTGAGCAAGAACTTTTTAAAGCTATATTCTATGTATATAGCAGTTTTACCATACAGCAAATGAATATACCTATATTAGCTGAAAGGGACATACAGTATGAGGATCAAAGTGTCTGATATTTTTTGTTAAAGAGACATTATTATTTAGAGTGCGAAGGGAAAAGACACAATTGTACTTACATAAGATAGGATATGAAAACTTTTTTAAAAATGTCCATGTCTTATCTCTACCCAGATTTTAAATTCCCTGATAGTTTGTAGGTAAATGTGTATTCCCTGGCACCTAACTATAGAAATCAATTACATGTATATTTGGAAGGTGAATGTTGATGCATGATTGACCCAATGGACAATCAGTCAAAATTGTCTTTATAGGAAAGGGGCTACACTACCGGAAAGAAATTCTAACGATCAGTATTCTAAACCTTTTCTTAAAAAGTCCTAGACAAGGCCAGGTTTCACGAACTAGCACAAAGAGTAAATGTACCAAAGTGGGAGTGGTGGGGAATGAAGAAAATAAGACACATACAAGACAAAGATCACACAAGAGATCAGGATGCTATTGGGAGGTCTGGCACAGCTGATGACTGCAGCCAGCACCTAACTGTGTGGACAGCTTTATTTATATAGTATCTAAACAAGTTTGCTTATACTAACAATGTTGCAAATCAGCAGGGAAAGTGAGTGGCAATATTTTCATCTTACAAGGTTGAGGGGAAGTAATAGTACCTGGGGTAAAGATTAAGGACAGAAGGCTATGTGCTTTAAGTATACAAAAGCTATGTGACTTATGGCAGACAGAGCAAGGAGAAAGGACTATTGCTATTTTAAGAAGGGAGGAGAAGCAGTTGGGGGCCGTTCCTTGAATGTGCCTCCCAGGCTGTGGGGTGTCTTGCCACCTCACAGTCCACATCTCCCTTTTTATTTCTAAGTGCCAATTTGTGAACAAATGATTTTTAGTTGGAGGAATTGCTTGACTCTGATTCTGCACAAGATTAATAAGAAACAATAGCTGTGAAAAGCTTTTTTCTGTGACTAGCTGGCCACAAAATTGCACAACATCAGTTCTTTCATGGGTCAGTTTCTTCAGTTGTCCCATGTTGGAGGCTTCATCTTGGACATCTTGGCTTGGCAGTAGATCATTTGGGATATCAATCTCTGCTTCTTCATTGATGGCACCGAAATGTCTTCTGGGTCCATGTCTAAACCATCATTCAGGGAGCCAACAAGGGCTGTCAGCTGTTCTAGGAGACACACAAACACGTCCTCTCCCACATATTAGAACAGGGTCAGGCCCCTGCCAACTACCAGTTAGAGGGTGCTTCCATAGCACCTCAGAAAGTTTAAAATTGGGTGCATTACAAAATTGCTCTGCTGCTCTGTGCCTCTGAGTATCAACATTTTAAAAATGTAAAAAGAGCATGAGAAAGAAGATTATGAGGTGCATTGGTGTATACCTCTCACATTTATAACGTATTCAGCTGAAGAGTGCAGCACTATTCTTTATAAGGGAAGCCAGCATTTCATAATATGGAGATGAAACCTGTTTTGGTGTCGTGCTCAAATGTACTGATTCTAAAGGATGCAAGAGGTCTCAATAACAAAGCAGTAGGCATATGAGAAGTAGGAAAAATTACTAGATACAGGAAAACAGGGTCAATATGAGTGACTTGTGCTCTTTGCAACACATGGTCAACCTTGGTTAGAGCTTTTATTGCAGTGGGTTTTGAAGAAAGAAGAGGAAAGGTTAGTTGGTCCTTTAAGAATGTTAAAAAGGGGTTTTAAGTCTACTGAAGTAAATTTTGTTGTTGCTGTTTTTGAGAGTTTCACTATGTCACCCTCGGTATACTGCTGTGGCATCACAGCTCACAGCAACCTCAAACTCTTGGGCTTAAGCAATTCTCTTGGCTCAGCCTCCCAAGTAGCTGGGACTACAGGCACCCGCCACAATTCCCAGCTATTTTCTGTTGTTGTTGTTGTTGTAGTTGTTTGGCAGGCCCAGGCTGGATTCAAACCCACCAGCCCCCCTGGTGTATGTGGCTGGCACCCTAGCCACTGAGCTATGGGTGCTGAGCCTCCTGTAGTAAGTTTTAATGAGGGATGGAACCAATTAATATCTCCTAGTAATATGTTTTGGGGGGCTATACATAAACAAAGGCAGTCAGAGAGTCCTGTAATTGGGTGAGGATAATGGTCAGAATAAAAGATTCAGGGTAGGCAGGCAAAATGTTATGCATATAATGAATAATGTAAGCAGTAGGAAATTCTTGGGACCATGCACTTGATTTTTCCTGGGGGGAGTCAGTACATTGATTTTATCATTCTGTTTATTTTATTTTATTATTGGTTACAAAACCTAAGTCCATATACAAAATGAGGAACACATTTAGATGCCTCTTTTGAAAGAATGTTTTAGTCTTTTTTAATTGAGTTTAAAAAAAAGTAATGCAATTTTTAAACACTATTTTGAAAACTTAAAAGTGCAGCAATATACTTAGTTTCCTTTATCTATGAAATAGTGCAATTCTAATTCAAAACTGATAAGCTCATAACAAATTGTCTTTGTACTACTTGATGCTAAAGTTTACCTATATGTTAGTTTGCACTTAAAATACAAGAGGAAATAGGAATTATTGTTACGGTAGTGGCCCAATTTTAATTTTTTTTTTTTTTTTTGAGACAGAGTTCACTGTGTCACCCTTGGTAGAGTGCCTTGGTGTCACAGCTCACAGCAACCTCAAACTCTTGGGCTTAAGTCATTCTCTTGCCTCAGCCTCCCAAGTAGCTGGGACTACAGGCACCTGCCACAATGCCAGGCTATTTTTTTGTTGCAGTTGTTGTTGTTTAGCAGGCCCAGCCCTAACCACTGAGCTATAGGCACTGAGCCCCAATTTTAATCTTAATGTGTGCAAATTTTAAAATGTAACTGTTAGTTAAGTATGGAGAGTTCAGAAGAAACTAAACAAGAAGGGGTACAATTCATAATATTAAAAAGATTTGGACGTTAAGGGTTTCACTGAAATTTGTGATTTTGATTAGCTTTGACTTTGTTATTCTTACTTTTAGAGAACAGTACACAGTTTCAAAAAATTAGACTATATTTGTTTGAACAGGATGCAGTTACCATATCAAGCTTGAACTCAAATTTTGGATAAAGAAAAAGAAGGCACGGCTAGGTGCAGTGGCTCATGCCTGTAATCCTAGCACTCTGGGAGGCTGAGGCGGGTTGATTGGCTGAGCTCACTGGTTCGATATCAGCCTGCGCAAGATTGAGACCTTCTTTCTAAAAATAGTTGGGCATTGTGGCAGGCGCTTGTAGTCTCAGCTACTCAGGAGGCTGAGAGAAGAGAATTGCTTGAGCTCAAGAGTTTTGAGGTTGCTGTGAGCTATGACACTATGGCACTCTACTGACGGTGATTAATGAGACTCTGTCTCAAAAAAAAAAAAAGAAAAGAAAAGAAAGAAGAAGAAAAGGCACAGTGACCTTCAAGTCAATTTTATGTGCACAAGAGTTAAAAAATCTGAGCCACCTTAAAAAGAAATTGATTCTAAATTTATAAAATCTATAATCAAGAGGCTAAACCACTATATTAAAACAGATTTTCTAGTAAGTAAAAATCTTGTAGTTTAAATATACAATTGTGTCCACTTTAGGTAAAAGATAAAAACTCACCTTGACATACAAATATTTATAATGAATGCACCCCTGCTATATGTAGTTTATCAGTGGAAACATCCCGCTGATTCATAAGGTCTGATGGCATCTGTTTCATTTTTATTATAGTAAATACACCCCTCACTAAGAAGTTAGTTTACATATTCTCTTTTTTTCATATCAGTGCATTCGGAAATCACACCCAGTAAACAAGAGTAACAAAACTATTTCTGTGACAGTATAAATTAGTTTTAACTTTTTCAAATCCATATTCTTTCATTAATAACTGGGTCAGACAATTTATCAAAAGCAATGATTTGACATAGTAATACCAGATTTTGCAGAATTACTTACTGCAAGTCAGATGTATATTAAGTAAGTGTAAATAAGTTCAATATATAGATCCCTGTCTGAATCTTTTAATATGTGAAGATGATTTTAGAGTAGGATCTGAATTACTTTCCCAATAGTCAAAGAATAAAGTTTTATGACACTTCTAAACAGTTGCTGGTTTGTTGCCAATCACATTGTAGTAAACATAAAAGTTCCACAGATTAAATCCAATATAAATCAACCATCTGCAATTATCAAATGAAAACAAAAAATATTAACTCCTGAAAGCTGAAAGCTTC